TCACACTGTGCGTTGACAGCATCCTGGGGATAAGTTAAATGACTGGTTATGATTGGCTGTAATGTAACTGACGACTCTGTGAGGAATTGCGGCATTAAGAGAACTCTTTAAATGCCGTTTCCCAAACAACTTTTTCACCCCATGAAAGCCAGCAACAAAAGTGCCTCTGACATTTACAACACCTCTGTGAGAACTCAGGAGCTGTTAAAACGGTGTGTACTGTTACACCTCAAGGTCGTGTGTGGCACCGGGTGAGGAGGATTACAGGCGCTAATGGACAGTGCTTGACTTTAATGAAGAGCCCTGATGAGGAGGCAGATTGGTCCCCATCGACTGCCATTTCCATTTTCATGGGTGCCCAGATGCATCATGGGAGGAATTTCAAGGCTGATTGCTGATCCCTGTGGATTATATCAGCCGTTGTACATACAGTATGTGTACATGTGCATTGGTGGAACTCAGACTGAGCCATTCCAGATACAGTGAAGAGTTTGGCCTGAATTGTGTCATTGAGTACTTTGATTCAGGGTGAGTATTCACACTCCTCCATGTTGCACATTCAGTGACACAATGTACTGTAAATGGATTTCATGCTCCAAGTCAGGCAAGCTTACGCATGTATGGCTTATATGAAGAGTAATCAAAAAGCTGTTGAACTTTTTTGTAGTCTGCAGAGCAACCAAGAACGTGAATTGGATTGTGGTCGAGTCCACCATACTTAATCATTTTCTTATCAGTGGTTGCTGTCAGAGCCCGGCTAAGGAATGACCCCAAAAGAAAGAGGAGAAATGAAGGACAGAGGGCGGCTCATGCTAGCCCCGTCGCCTCCTTTGAGCTCAGTGACACCTGCCTATTGACACTGGTGCTTTATTCCACCTGAAATCCCCTCCTGATACCCGCTCTGTGAAGGTTAATGGGGGATAAAGCATTTTGTCATAAAGCTCACAGCAGCGCCTTTTCTCTTGGTCTGGCATTAGAGCCAACAGGCAGGACAGAAAGAAAAATTTATATCACTGTCAGCGGTCACTAGTGAACAACTTGTCATCATGGCCTATTTCGGAACAATATACCCGCTAGTGCCAAGCTGTAGATGCTTCGAGTACAAGGGCACAGCTTAAGATGTGTAGTGTGGGTTTGTCATTGGTCGCAGGCAGGATATTTCTCCTCTGTGCCAAGCATCAATAAATCAAATCAAAGTAATTAAGCAACGTATTGTATGTAATGTAATATGAGAGGAAAAGGCCTTTATTAAATTCTAAAGTGCACTTGAAGAATCGCCTCTCTCAGATGTGATAAAACGAAGTGATGAAGGTCAGATTGGTTTGTTTTTCAGGACAGACAGCAACTCTATTTGACACGCAGCTGGAAAACATTTTCCTCCCTAAAGGTCTCCTGAGCTTTGAGGAAGTGAATGTACCTACAATATACTGCCTTATCGTCCATCTAAATGATGCCCCTCACTAAAGGCCTCTGTGCTTTTTCATTGTGAAACCAGCAAGTTGTCATATTATTATGATGATGATGGATGAAAAACATGCATCGAGTGGCGGAGGGCCAAAGCAATCAGGTGCCGCATTGATAAACCAGTGCCTGTTAACTTGGAATTGGTTGTTTGTATGTTGCACAAAGCACTGATGATGATGATTCAAAAATCCAAACAATGACAATACAATGATTGCTGCTACACTAAGGACAAAAATGCTCAAACAAAGACGCTGTATTTAAGAGGCAGGCTTAAGTGTTTCTTCTGTGGCAATTAACTTCAGCTGGGCGAGCGATCCACATGATTCACTCACAACGCAGTTTGGTTAATTGGAACGGCGCATGATGGTCGGATCTCTGTTGACTTCAATACGCAGTGAAACTAAAATAATTCAATTATACGATGAGGTAATTTAGGTAAGTGATTGGGTCATTGTTGCACATGCACACATGAAACTTTATGAATCACTAAGCAGGGTTCAGCATCAGAAGAGAGGTTTATGAACTATTTATAGAGCAACACTGCCCCCAGCTGAAACGTGGTGTGTGCTTCAGTGGCATACATGCTGCAAAAGGAGAGGGGAACACAAAAGCAAATTGTGCACATGTAGCAAACCAGAAACATCCCGCAAAAACAAGGTCCTAGAAATGTTCACTTTTAAATGATTTCACAGGTACAGTACAGATGAGTGGACTCTACTGAAAACATGCCAGTACATGTGGCTGAGTGTTGGCTGGTCTGAAGTGATGCAATAAACGGACTAGAAATTCTGCTATAATCATTTGCAGGCTGTTAAACAGATGTCATGTTCAGACTTTTTCCATCCACCTGACATACTATATGTTATGGCTGCAGTGTGCTTTCAGTTCTAATGCAAATACTTAATTATCTTTGACTGTACAAGCATGTGATTGTTTCATTGCATATAAGAGAATCTAGCTGTCTGTGACAAAGTGATGGTGAGGTTGTGTCTTGTTGAATCATATGTTCAATAACCCCAAAATATTGGCTAACTCATACAAAGGCATCTGAGTGCTGTGCCAGATCCTAATATTCATACACTGAATGACAGTGATTTCCATGATAACTCTGTTCAACTGACAGTTGAAGTGCTCTGTTCATTCTGTGCTCTCAGTTCCCAAAAGAATCTCAAACATGTTGTTATGATTGCCTCTTTCATTTGAAAGGCTCTGCTGTGCTTTCAATATTATATAGGGCCTTTTTGTCTGTGCCAATCGTCCTCCACAAAATACCTCAGTACACTGGGGCCAGGCTGTGGGCTACCGTAAAGGAGCTATTTGTAAGTTTTGCTATTACATAGCCAGTCTAGAAGAAACGTTGCGAGTTCACGGTCAAATTTCATTCCTTTACTCGCCAACAGTTCTGTAGTGGTGTAAAACAACGCCAATGTTGACTCTTGACTCTTTTCTTCAACTGAAGTCAGCACGCTAATCAGCTAACACTGGCCTGTCTCGTCACTTTCCACTAGCGACTCACTGTACCCTCCACTCTGACATGAAGACATAGCGCTGCTCAGAGGCCGTATTATAACCCCCTTTCTTGTCAGTGCAACAATGGCTGAAGCTCTTATCAACTGACGAACACCACCACCTGCTCCTGGTGAGAAACTGCTTTTTGCTGGTACAGGAAATGTACAAATAGCATCTTTTAAAAGAAAATTCAAACTCCTTCACTGAGGCTTTTTCCACTTTAGAAAGTTGTTGTAATGTGAGCATAATATATGTAATAGTCCGAATTGTATTTTTTCAGTGAAAGGTGTTGGTAGGATAAGCGTTGTCATTGATTTGTGACTCATGATTGCTCCTGATTTAATAGCAAACTGCAGTCCAGTTAGTTAAACAAAAAAAATGTGAAAAAATAATGTCATACCATAGTTGACTAATCACACTATAAATCATGACTGACCTGTGTCATATTTTAAAATTTCAGTAAAGGAAATGGACAACCAAACAGTTTACAAAGGATGACCTGCTGGAGGAATTTCATTCACTCTTTTGTGCACTTTAGTTTATTTCAAATGTTGTCAGGAAATTCTTAAAATATTTCGTCAAAAATGTCATGAATGATTTCATGAGCACCTACTCCCATGACTTTCATCAAATTTGTGCATTAGTCTGAAACATCTATTTTCATTAATTGTATAACTTCAAACTTAAATGAATGGATCTCTCAACTCAAACATTACATAGATATTATATTATCATTTGTAAATTATCGGTCCCGCCTCTTGAATGTATTTAATTGGCTATTTATTTTGTCCGATTTAAATTGGTCCATTAACTCAGTGTAGCTTCCACAAGAGGTCAGCAAAACCAGCCTGTTTTATACTAAATGATTTGTTTTCATGTCTTTGAAAAGTCAATAAACGCCACAGAGGATAATCACATACACTGAACAAAGCAGTACATGTGTTTATCACGTTTTCTAACTGATAAATAAGGCCAAGAAAACAAATAGTTTTGTGATATTCAACAGCCTGTGTGGAGTTGACCTTTGCCTGTGTGGCTGCACTTCCTGGGAACAGGAGATTTTTACACAAATGCCCTGGGAGCTCAAATTGCTGGTTCATGACTGAGACATGCAAATGCCACTTGCTGTGCACAAGTATTTAATGGTAACAAAACATGATTGTACACAATGCAATGAGCAGCAGCCACAGGAGAATGACATGTACAATATGCACATTGGGGATAACTCATAATATTCACTTATGATTAAAATACTAAAATATATATATAATATTTTATAGGCTATATCATGACACTTACAAGTGAGCCTCATAATACATTATAAATTGTACTTTGAATTGCCAACATTATATTTCTTTTGTCCTAACATGAAATAACATTTCTTCACTGTTTGCTCATATTTACAATTTTTTGTGAGCACATGAAGGCAGCACGACAGGTTCATCATTGCCAGCAGATGGCTCTACTTAGAGGTATTAAAAACCTTTAGCCTGTTCTTATTGAAGTGTAAAGGTTGTCCCCATTGATTTTATGATGTACTGACCTAAATCACTCTGAACTGCATCTCGTGTCTTTTTTTTTTTTTTTTTTTTACAAATTAAAATGAACTCTAGTTCTCTACTCTAGAGCTGTGAGCAGACTGGGCCTGATAGGAAAAAAAAACTGAAATACAGAAACAAGTGTGTTTGTCAGATATATGCAAGTTTGTATGTGCCATATAACATGAAAAATAGAGTTTGATAAGGTCAATGTGGATACGTAATGTAAACCTCCAGAGGAACACTAGAGGAATGTTACAGCTTAAAGCCTTTTAATGTATTGAGCAAACGTCACATGCTTAAATGTCAACCGTAAAAAGTATCATTGGGGAGAGAAAAAAAAGAACTAACTCAGCTCTTTAATGCACAGGCTTGCCCTTTACTGTCCAGTGATGCAGGAATGTGAAGGATGCTGAGTGTCCACCTGATACACCGCTCTGCGCCCGGGGGAGGGTTCTCCAGTCTCCACTCTGGCTGCCATAACACGGCTCTGCTCAGGCAGGCAGGCGCAGGCAGCAGGCAGCAGGGGAAAGCGCATCCTCAGAGAGATCTGCTGGAAACATGAGCATCAGGGGAACCTAAACGCATTCCTCTGCTCCGGTCGGATGATTCGACAACTTCATGTGTTTTGCGTTATCCTCCACAGGACATAGGAGAAGACGACGCAGGCGTCGGGCCGCGCAGGAAAGACACACGCCGACATCATCAGCCGCCGCTGCGCCGTGTGAGGCGAGGTCATCGCAGAGTCTGCCACGGTAAGATGCATGAAAACGGCAGCGAAAAAGCAGCCGGGCCACTTGTTTTCATCCGCGTATTTTTGTGTAAACACCGACTGGTTTGTGTCGGTCATTTGCTCCAGCCTCATGTCTGAAACCTCTCAGTGTAGCTGTGATGCATTAGGCTTCATGCATCTCTCTTATAATATTAGACCACAGTGCGTTTCGCTAAAAGCAGAAAATGCTTTTTGCTTACAACAAATCTCCAGAGAGGGAATGCAGGCCACAGGGATTTGGACGTGACATTTGTATTCCATCCACGCTGCCACTCCTGACAACATGGACCACAGTAAATATGGGTTAGTGGAGCAATTCCACACGCCCTGCGACCACCAGGATGCCGCATGCGATTTTCTCTTTCATCAGTAAATGCTTTCAGTCAGAGAAATTGATGATTTTTAAATCCGGATCAGATGTTGTCGGGATGGGGGGCTTTTGGTTTGCAGCATCCTCACTGGTCTAGACAGAAAACGCAAGGGGGCGAGTACACGTAGTATACATGTAGTAGACAGGCCTGTCGGATGCTAGTCAACAACCATGCTGGATGCTCGAACCAGGTTTAGCATCCAGGTTTTCTGACATCACCTGAGATGACGATGATGTGTCAGTTCGTTTTATTTTAGTAGAAGGGCATGTTTAATTTTGCTTTCAAAATAAAATGTTGACTTTTCCACACAGTTTCACATATTTGCACCATTTTCATTGTGGCAATCAATCTGGAGCAAATGAATAAAAAAGACAGACAGGAAGATGTGAAGAAATGTCATTTTCACTGCTGTAATTGGTCGGTGCAGACTCTGACATTAGTGTGATAATAACGTGACAATGAAGATGAGATAATCTGTCATAATTGTTGCAGTGTGGGACACTGCTGGAACTGTTATGTGCATACATGAATTATAAATGTCTCTCATTCACTATAACCTCATTCACAATAAAGTAACCTTCAGTTCCCTCCTTGATTAAATGGCCTAATAAAAGGCTGATGTTAATTTTAGAGTTACCTCAGATTCCTCGTCTGTGGTCTGAATATTGGGCGACACAGCCCCATATCTTTTTCACTTTGGGAATACATGAGCTATAGTTAGACACATGCTAATACAAAGATTAATTTCCTGATGATGACTTTTCAATATCCTAAGGTGTGAATGATGCTGATTATTTTAAATTTAGGCACAGTGGCCTGTTTTTAACCGCTTCTAGCATCACTGCGAGTACTGGTTACTAAGTGTAACAGGAATGGCGAAACTATAAACTTTGACATGTGAAATCTGGGCATTGATATGACAACAGCCTGTGTCGAAAGACACGAGTCACTGTTGAGTCAACATGACTTCTCTGATATTGTTTGCTTAAAGGGATGTCCATCTGCTGGAGGGATAATTCAGAGGCTCTTATCAGGTGACGGGTCATAAAACCTAATTCACTACTGCAGGTACGAAATTGGTGTTGAACACTTGGGCTCAAAGAAGAATAGGGGAAAGAGCAAAGGTGGTGGGGGAGGTGGAAGAAAACCTACAACTAAGATCCGGGTCTGTGTGACATTTCATGTATAGGTCAGTGTGAAGCCAATAAAGCTCTCCCAACTGCAATATCTTAATTTCTAGGTTTTCATGAGAGGGAACTGGAATCCATTTTTCCATCTGAGTTTTGTAGTTAAAAAAACTTAATGACACTTCTCCCTATTATTATTATTATTATTATTATTATTATTATTATCATTATTATTATTATTATTATTGTAGGAGTTTTATAGACATTGTATTGAAATTGCTTATGCTCCATGCATAGATATTTAAGTCTTTTATCCTATCTAATTTATATTTGAACATTTTATTATCTCGATTACACTTTAATTATGGCTGGTACATTCAGTTATGTGGGCTAATCAGAGGTTAATTTGGCCATATAAAATTTTCATTAGGCTGATCTGAGCTGTCTTACTTTTGTCACCGTTTCTACTGATCGTCATTGAAAGAAGGTATGAGCCGAAAGATACAGATTATATTCACATCTGTGGGCTGTCTGCATACGTGCACACACTGGTGTGAATTGTTTGGTGAAACAAATAGATGAGAAAGACCTCTTGACATCATGAAGCACTGCTTTTTTTTGATTGGACTGCACTCTGACTGTCCCTGCAGTCATTATTATAATAAAGTGTGTAAGATGAAAATGACGGTTCCTTATATATGCAGCTGGATATAGGCCAGTGTGCTCTGCTCATTTCAATCGTCAGGCAGTACATGTACATGTTTTAATAAAGAACCATCCACTGCACCGTCACAACCCTGTTTATATTAAAAAAAAAAAAAAAAAAGTTTCTTGCTTGCGTTTAACCTCCGACTCCAGCCTGGCTCTTGTATGTCATATTTCATTAATACACAGAATCTGCTCTGCCAGGCCAGTGCTTCATAAGTAAACCATGACTTGAAGAGGAAGTGCTCGTGTTATTATCACTCTGTCTGCTAATGAGGGAAGAAAGTGAGTGCTCGTTTTAATGAGAGCTACTGCACTTAAACACAAAGGGCTGTTTCAGGAGACACTCGTGGTGCAGCTGCAGAAAGCAAGACTGAACAGAACCATATTAACTAGAACAGCAGTTTGTTAGGTCAGGCTGAATGGTTCTGACTGGCTCTATTTGCGTGTTTTCACAGTTTATCCTGGGCTCTGGGTGAAAGGAGAAAACTTTTTCCCCCTGGTTGAGCTCCAGTAGAACTGGTGGTGGAGCTGTAATTGCAGTGCTTATTATCTCTTGTCCCTGGTTTCACCTATACTGTGCCCCAGAAGTGTCATTTTCAGAGTCCTCAAGCTTGAGGCTGGAGATTACTCTTCCAATCCTCTGATATGAAGGCGTAAAAATGTTCCTCAGCTATTTCCCTCAGCACTGGCCACTCATTTGAAAGCATTGATGTTTGAGGCTCAGGCCCCCGACATGCTCAGCAGACCATTCAGTTAAGGTTCAGGATTCCTGTGAGTAGGAATCTATACAAAGTCTCAAACTGGCGGATCTTTACGTGAGCACTGAGGTAGAAACGTCCGTTAGTATATTTAGTAAAAGACACAACAGTCTTACCTTTTCAGCCTGGCATGTCTTTATCTCGTGCTGTAGACAGCAGCTTTTTTTTAAATTCTTGTTACCTCAGCAGGCAACCTCACAGACTAAATCACATTTACAAACATACAGACGCTCACCAAAGTCTCAACTTGTGCATAAGTGAAACAAAACTTTCCAGCATGACTGACAGAGTACAGTCTCAGCTTGCTGTCTGCGTGGAGCCTCGTGAATGGCTACTGCATGCATCTGTGCTCTCTGAAGACCTGTTTAGCCCATTATATAGGAAACTGTGGATTCATCCTCTCAGGAAACCACGTGAGCCTCTGGGGTAGAAGCCATCAATATTGGATTTATGTATCAGGAAGGCAGCATGTGAATAGCATGAATAGCTATCTTTAGATTCATTGAACTCACTGAATATGTGGGGTTTGTGAATAGCAGCCACCAGATTTGCGCATAGATTTCAAATATTTTGACAATGCAAACCCCTGTTAAAATAATGATAACAGTAACAGTATGTTTAAGTGATATTCAGTTCTTTACTGTAGTAACGTTGCTTCATAGCCGGGCGTAGCTGCTCAGTGTTGCCTGTTTTGGTATGAATTAATGATTGAACCACAGAGTGCTGGGTGATGACTGCACTCCCATAAAACTTTAATGATCTGCATGTTTCCCCTCTTAGTCAATGGGCAGAGTGGCACAGAAAGGAAGTGCTTGTGCCTGCAGTAATCGTATGCCGTGAGCATGCCTCCTTCCTCTTCAGACTGACTGTGCAGGGCTGAAAGGAGAACAATACTTTGTGTGAAAAGATGAAGATGGTTTCATAAGTCTCCCACAGGACTTTTAGACAAGTGAAATACAGTATAAATAACTTAACATATTTTATACATTTTTTATACCCATTATCATTTAGCTCAGGCTTTTTAACATCAATAATAATATATGATCACTGCAAAAAGCCCAGCCTACTTCTTACATGTGTATTATTGCTTCTGTATAGCACATTACCTATTTTATCTTTTATTTATATCTTTACCACTGCTTGGTAATTAAACTTTCCTTAAACCCATCACAACTTTGCTCTTTTAAATAAGAGCCACAGCGCGTGCACCTGGGAACTGACACGCGCTCAGATCTGGAGAACGCCGCTAATGTCACCGTTTCTGCCTGGTTACTCTGTGATTCATCTTTGATTGACAGATTCAGTAACAAGATTTCTGTTTGCAGGCCAGGTCAAAGGTCACATGAGCAGTATAGCGGCAGTTTTTTTCTCGGCATGTATTTTTAGCTTGACCTTCTTGTATTATCTGTACATTTACCACATCCATAGAATAAATGCACCAGAGGATAACTTAAAAAAATCTGCTGCTTGAAGCCATGGGTACAGTAAACTGAATGGCTGCAGGCTTGGACTGGCCACTAGAAGGCAAAGCCTGTAAAATAGAGATTTGAGATTCATCTTATTGAAGAACCAAAATCACTCTATACAAATGGATAATGCGGGTAAGTCATACATTTCATGAAAATTGCATTCTAGGATTGGGTCTGTGATCTTCTTAGTTGTTGCAGTGCTTATACAAACATCACATTTCATCAATGATGCTCTGAAAAGCTCAGATGTGCTCTGTTATTTATCGTACAGATTCACAACTGGACGTCACCCAATGACTTTACGCTTTAAAATGATGCTAAGCACAGTATAGTAAAACATTAATCAAGCCTAATGGAGGATACTCACCAGTATTAAAAGCCCGGTTTATTGTGGTGTGTGGGTAACTACATCAGCTGATTACAGTGACAAAGCAGGCATGATATCAACTATAGATATGAGCTTTTTCAGAAATAGGAAACTCGATTTTACTGCCTTAAGTGAAACCAAAATCTTGTCTGACCCTTCCCTGGCTTTGGTTTCTAACAACTGGAAAAAAATAAAATAAAACTTGTCTCTCAAAAGTGCAATGCTAAACCACTAGAGGACGTCATAAAAGGATCTTTTCACCACGTTTACAGTTCTCAGATTAAAGGGGCTGCCTTCAGTTGCAAACATGTTTATGTTCAAATGCCAAAGACTTTGCAACACTTGGAAAAGTTGAGCCCTGCTCTTACAGTAAGGGCCTAAGAAGAGGTGTTTTCCGTACCTTGTTTTCATTCATTTTCCAGCTCAGTCTGAGTGGGCTCATCCAGCTGGGTCCAGTGACTAACTCACCTCCTCTCCTCTGCTCTCTGCTCGGCAGCGTCACAGCGGCCAAGTGTTAACAATATGGCTTTGTGGCTCACACCTGTGGGCAGTGGGACTCTGGGAGAGTGGGAGTGAGTGGGCGAAAGGGGCATGCTTTCTTCTCTCAGACTCGAGCGAGGCGATAGAATAACATCACAGTAATGTCTTTGTGTAAATAGCGAGGAATTAATTCCAGTGTAGTTTTATGTGATGGCTGTTTGTTGTAAAGTCACATTTATGGACAGATTTAGGGCCGTGTGTGGTGGTAACTTTAATTGGAACAATGTTTGTGAACACCGCTCGCGTGACTGCTGCTGTTAGATTTGAAGGTGATTCTTACCTCTAATTATTTTGTTGAAAGCAAGAGGCGAATGTGTGCAAACTCCTCGTGTGTACTACAAACACTGTTCGGGAAGACTAATTTGGGGCGAATTAGTCTTGCATGATTGGAGATGAATAGCTTGTTAATGTTTTTGCTTTGCAACACTGGCTTCTGTAAGTTACAACAGAGGTTGCTGCGGAGGAGCGAACCAAGCAGTAAACAAACATTGGGCATGTACTGTACACTTTGGGCTGCGCAGCCACACACGCACTAACCCAGTTGATTAAATACAGTGTCATTCTCTCAGACATACTGTGAACAGATGCAAACGCCCACTCGTTCCACTTGTCTTTTGTTGTGTATTCATGCATTATTTTTTCTCAAACAGTGAGTCAGGGAAAAATCTGCCTCTGTTTGTGCTTAACCATATAAAAGAAGAGTTTTTAGGTTTGGTTAAACTATTGTTTTTTTGCTTTATTTTTGCAGGTTGGTATGATCCCGTGTGCCTTCATCCCAATCTGAAGCTCTGACACACCTCAAGACCACCTTAATCACTGCCACCAACCTCAGCCATCTCTGCATCCAGTGCTATCATCAATACCTCAGGGAGGATGTGAATAGGAGAAGACGGACCGAGGGTAGAAAACCCCAATAAATCCAACTAAGAACGGAAGTGGGATCACATGGAGGCTATGGACTGACGGGTCAACTGATACCAGATCGCACTGGCTTTGCTTGGAAGTGTAAGTCTCTATTAATCCATCTGACCACAGACCATGGTCATTCTGCTTTAGGGAATCAATTGAAATTCAATCCATTAATGGGAATAATCCAATAATTAGTGTCTCCTTTCTAGATGAGACTAATTGGATTTCAAACTATTTCTTCAGATTGATTCTTCTGACCTTAACTCCGCAGCAGACAGTGAACAGAGATGCGTAAACCCGGCTGAGAAGATGAGACACAGATACAGTAGCATTCCCAGCGTTAGGTATAATGCCTTTTTTGATAGGAAGTGTTGCAATACAATGTTTTTGTAAAGAATCTCTGACAGCCTTGTTGCAAAGCCTCTCTCATATGTGAAATACAGCAAGCTGCATTTGAAGATATGGCAGTGACTTACCAGAGAGTACAGCTTCATCCTTTTTACTGCCTCTGTGTACTAAGGATGTCTTCCATTATAGCTGTTATCTCTGAACCCAGAATCTAGACATTTATCTCCTCCAGCTCCCCTCCTCTCTCCTCTCATCTCATCTCCTCTCTCATCTCTCCTCTCCTCTCTGCTGCCACACTTTACTGACATGTGTTTGTGCTCTCGTTCCATCCTTTTTCCTTGGCATTTGACAATGGAAGCGGTGGCTGTTTCTGGTGTTCGTTTTTTTTTTTTTTTTTGCGCTCTGTCTTTGTTCCTTCTCTCCTTGCAAAAAAAAAAACTCTTTTATCTTTCTGTGTACAAGACATGCCATCTATTCTGTGCCAAGCACAAAATGTGGATCTGTCTTTGAGGTTTTATTGATCTGTGTAGAAACAGACATGATTGGATCTCACTATCTTTTTGATACATTTGTATTTGATATCTATTTATATTGTTTGAGGTACCCCTATAAACAGGAAATTCTTCATCTTTATTATAAAACAAAATGCTATCCTGCAGTATGAGTGCTATCCACAGTAATCTTTGTGTCTCACTGATGTTTAGAAATTTGTAGTCACACATACTTAACATCATTACTCCTGTTGTTCCAGATCATACTTCGATAAGCATTATATGTGGCAAATATCCCTGAAGGCTTGAAAATACAGTGTCACCTAGGGAACATGCTGAATAATTCATATAAATCATGCATTTTTCAAATCAGTGGTGATTTCCATTGCTGCTAGTAAGCTTTTAGCAGGGTCAGGTCAGCCAAGCTCCTATTTGTTTACCTGCTACACGTCACATCCCAGTGGCTATGTAATGGGAGAATCGTGGTGAAACTGTGCATCACTCAGTAAAGTGTTCATGGAAGAGACTTAAATATCTAATATAACCATTGGGCTGATTCCAGACATGCCGAACTAAAATGGTGAACATGGTCAACATTTATACCTGCTAACGGTGTATACCCAGCCTCATGCAGCCCAGTGCATACTGGAATATGCTGCATACACCCATAACCCTATTTCGGTATTTGAGCTTTGATTGGCTGTTTTCACCTTCTTGAGATTTTTTTCTCTAATTTACAGATTTTAAGTCCTACCTATAAAAACCGTAATGGTTGCCAGCTGCTTCTCATCAGCACCTCATTGCAGTGCCTCTGTAAAGGTGTTAAAATTTTGTCATTGCTTTTTCCATGTTTTCTCCATCTGTCTTTTTGAGAAAAAGATTTATAAAAGGACTGCCGTGCATTTCCACATTCAGGCTATGAAATGGATTGTCCACTGATACAGGCGTGAAATTTACTCCAATATTTTGAGTCCATCAGTGTCTCTGCTCTGCAGTGGATTACTCGGCCTTCCTTTTCCAAATCAAGTGCTTAATCTGTTAGGAAAAATGCAGCAAAGAGCACGAAATTAAGGCTGAATATATTTATTACAGAAACAGCTGATTAGCTCCATGATTTCCCAACATGACACACACAACAAACCTCATAATTGTGACAAATTAGTACAATTAGTAACGGATGCTGCTTCATTATCGTATTTAAGGGTTAAATATAGATACCTAGTTTACAAGGTTAAAAACGGAAGCGTCATCTTAATAATCGTGAGCAGCATCCTCCACCCACAGTATCATATTGTGGTAACAGAGATGGATCCATTGAGGTTTTCAAATCCCAGTATGCTGTCTTATGAATGATGCACATTACATGTTTGAGCAGATCAACAGCGATAAAATATGACACGAATCAATTTGAGATAACTGCAACTCTATTAACATCAAATAAGACTTTTAAGAGCTCTGAAATTTGCTTTAAAGCTTTACTTGCAATTATGTCATACTCAGCAAATTTTGCACGTAATTCATTATTTATATGAGATGTTTAACTAAGGTCGAGGAGGTCAGCAGGGAGTTCTGAGGCTTATGCTTTATTTTAAATATTTAAAAATGTGTACCAATGTTTGCATAGGAAACGTGTTTGTGTTGTTTAATACAACTGATGTTTAGGTTCTTCCAAAGGAAAATCTACCTCCATCTACCATCTTGCCACATTTTTATGTTTCTGGTTGGAAATGGATGATACATCACCCCACCCTTTGGTTTGAATTAATGATAAAGTAGAGTGAACAGGGTGCAGGTTTGCCACAAGGTAAAGACACATTTCTGTGGTTGGTTTTTCTTTGATGTCAGTTTTCTTTGAGGCTCGTTTTCAGGTGCTCACATGTGAGCCAAGGTGAGGGGAGATGTTACAGTGAAGCAGAACAGATTCATTTTAGTGTGCTGTGAGTCTTGGGATTTTAGAGCTGTATAGTATTTCTCATTGAGGTTTTTTTTTTTTTTTTTTTTTTTTTTCACTCACAGTTTTTGATAGTTGTCTCACATTTAATTCACAATTAAATCAATCTGTTCACAACACACAAAAGCAAAGCTGATCGATGTTGAATAATACATATTAGAGCCCAAAATATTAACATTCCCCTCAAGGTACAACCAGCATGTTATGCCTTCTGAATGTTAGCATTGCATCATTCATGGGTGGGATGATTTGCTTCTGCCCTCCCAACTCAAGTGATGCAGTATAATTTAATTCACTGGGAACATTTATGTCAAGCAGGTGCTGGAGGTTGAAGTGAGCACGCTGTTGTTTGTATTTCATTAAACAGACAGAAAAGCAGGGATCTGGAATGAATGATGCAATAGCTGGTGGCGGTGGCAAGACCAATTATACCAAAGCATCTTTTCCTTGTTTAAAATAGGTCTCTGCAAATCCTCTTGCATATGAGGGTCAGATGATGTCATATGCTAATTAAGATATATAAATAGTGTATAGTAAGCGGCATGAGTAATGTGTCATAATGAATCATGACAAGTTTCATGAAGTAGAAAATGCAGACTCTTGAGAAAAAAAAGACCAAAATCATCATAGAAATCAACATTTTAAGAAGAAACAACAGTTCAGGACTTGGCAGATTTATCTCTCTGTAAGGCCTCTAAGGCTGAACTGAAGATATAAAGATCGTGTTTATATTAAAGACCTTTTGATGCCTTGTATGTACGATGACACTAAAGACATTTTCAGGGCCAAATACCACCAAGGATTTGTTAACAAATGCTTTTGTCAGAAACACAACAACTCTGTTGCCTGTGGCCCTTTTTGTCACTTTTGACTGATTGCATAAAATCCAACCTCCATAAATAAATGTATGATCAGGGTGTTCATGTAAAAGAAAGCTTGCTTCTCAGTGAAACTACCCTGAATAAATAAAGGTAAAAAAAAAATTAATAAGTGACCACAGTGGTAATGGTTCAAGTATATACAGTAGTATAGTGTCCTGCCTTCCAAGACAATAATATGTCTCCTATTGCTTGTTTTCAGTGTACACATCAATTCCCTCTGTTGGTCAGTGGGCCACACTGCAAGACTTTACCAACAGATAGGAATCAATGCTATTACACTTTTCATTTTACCTGCTCCTCCTTTTTTCTTTTTAGCGACGCAGGGAAACGTTCAATCTAGATCTGAGTTATCTTTTCTTTTTTTTTCTTTTTTTTTCATTCAATGCAGTCATGGAGTGATTGCTCATCTGACATTTTTACATTTCAGTTCTGTTTTTCATCTCCTGGATGTATACTGTATATACTGTAGCTGCCAGGAGATGACAGATATGCAGTGACCCGTACGCACAGCATGCCTTGCAGCATAGAGCTGTAAGGATGGGCCTGTGTGAGTGAATGTGACTTGCTCAGTGGGGTAGAGTGGAGAACAGGTGCTGACACTGTCAGCTTGTTAACACTGAGGAGAGAATTGGCTCCTCCAACAGAGTGCGACACATATGCAACACATAGCCTTTGGCTGTGGGATGTATGTGTAACTATGCATATGTGTTAAGTGAGAAAAGGCAGTGTGTGTGTGTGTGTGCTGTGTATTTATCACGCTGCTATGATTCTCAGAGATTTAATGGGTGTAAGGAGTTAGTTGATTTGTGTGTCTAATGATAATTTGGGTGAAAAATAGGCGTTAGATTGGACTGTAAACATGAAATAAAAGGAGCATTTGAGTGTGCAAATGCATTGTCCTGTGTATAACTGCAGCGACAGGCTGTGTAATGTGCAAAACACAGAGCCCCTAATTTGTTGTCTTTATAGTACTTTATAAGTTTTGACATAAATTTTGTTTTGAGCCCATTGTTAGAGCATTATTATGTAGCTCTATTTTCTACAAAGCTTTGGGAGATGTAGTTATGTGAAACCCCCTAGGGTTATGTGCAAGGAATTCTCTCAAACATCACAAATTAGGCCCCTAGATGACCCATTTCTAGAAGAACTAAATTGACACAATGAATTATTCCATCCAGTCTTGTGGCCTCTATAATGAGAAGGGGACTTAGAACAGAGGATAAATTAGGACACTCAATTCTTGATTCTCTCATTTATTCCATCAAAGCCATTTAGGCAGATCTGCCCCGTTTCCCCAATTTATTCTATGATTTCTTACCCTCTCATTTGGAGGACGGGGGGAGAAAAAGGATGTGAGTTTGGAGAAATTGGCTGCTACATTTTGGAGATAATAAGACACAAGGATAATGTGTCAGAATCGATTTAATTCCGGTACAGTTGAGAGGAAGTTGTCATATTCTTTTCCTTTTGGAAAGACGCTTGCAGAGCTCTGCCCCAAATAAATCACTAATAGCTCCCAGCAATGAAGTAAAAGGGAAGAGTGAGAATGTGGTTTAGAGTAAAAATTATGGTTCACTGCAGAAGGAGGGAAAAAGAGAGAGAGAGAGAGAGACGGCGGCGTGTTGGAGGGAGAGGAGGGAAGAAGGTGCGGAGAACAACACCATCTGGTCTTCTCCATAAAGCCAACAGTATAACCTATATACATATGCTAATTTTTACACAACACTCTTTTTAAGCTTGTTTATCAGTATCGCTATTACCCTAGAAAAAAAAGTATATTGCCCACACTGTGTTTAAAAACAGGTACCACCATTGAGGATCAGTGTGCGTGTCTTTGGCAGGCGGCGCTGTCAGTGCTGTACATCAAAGGCATCACAGCAAAATGAGATGGCTTCTAACAAATACTACTTGAGCTCAACTCCATTGTCAAATCCACAGGGTCCGCAGGGGGATATGGTTAGTGTCACCTGTGGGTTAAAGCCTCCTCTCCGGTTTGATGTCTGAATATTAGGTTATGTGATACGCTGCCACTCTTTCAAGTCAGCCTGACAGGACAAGGCTGCAAGCAGATATCCCATAAGGACTTTAACTGCTCAGCAGAGAGACATACAGACATCACACAAGGCCCATCAAAGCTGGGCTCTCCTCTCTGGCCTCTGTACGCTCCACCAGGCTGCAGATACATTTTGTATTGGTTTGGCGCCTTCCAGTGGAATTTTGTAGAATTACATCTTTTTCATTTCATCTGTTGAAGTGACATGTTTTTTGTTCCTTTTTTATTCACAGTGACAATGGTGTTGTTTCTGATTGGGATCTCTATTGCCGTGAATAATTCATCTCATGAGAACCAAACTGCAGGTAATTGTTGCGAGGACATGAGCAACTGTACTGTGCATGATCAGATCAGATGTAAAAGCAAGACTGTGTTACTTTTGAAAGATGAAATAACAGATCGTACAAATGAAAAGCAGAATGTGTTGGCGTTAAATCACACTCTTAAACATTTCAACACACTCAGTTGATTTGCTGCTACAGCCTTACTTTGTCTGGTGTCACCACAGTCACAGTAGTTAATCATAGCTAATGTAAACAAACTTTCGGCAGATATTGCTGTTTCTAAATCTAAATCTGTTACTTTACGACTCTAGTTGTGCTACGGTACACTACATTCTACTATTAACATCATATAACAGTCACATGTGGCTACATTGTCCATCATTCAGTAAAATTATGGTCTTGCTTTGAAGGAATATTCAGACATTTTGGGAAATACGTTATTATAGTCATCACGGTATTTGGTTTTAAAACTATAGCTGCCATTTTTACACTTAGGTTTTTGTATGGATTAAACAAATGAGAAATAACTTATGAAATAATAATCTTTAAAGGTTAAACATAGATTCTTAACCTTTGAACAGAGTTGACCGAGCTGTATTTCCATGTGCTTCAAGTCTTTATGCAAAGCTAAATGTCTTCTTGTTGTTATTGTCGTAGCTGCATCTTTAACGGACAGATATGAGAGTGGTATCAATCTTCTCATCTAACTCTCACAGAGAAAGCTAACGAGTACATTTCCCAATTCTTAAAATGTGTTTGTTTGAATGTATCCTTGAATAAAACTAATATGATCCTATGTGTCTTTCGTCCAGAAAACCCCACCCATCAGGGTGCTCATGTGCTGCCCTCAACACTGGTCATATCCCTGCTCCTTATCGTCATTGTCCTGCTGACGATCTACTGTCTGAGGTGAATGAACATACACAGTCACTTACTCTACTCGCTTGCCTGAGTGACTCTCTGCTTTCTCTTTTCTCCTTCTCTCTCTCATTCCCCTTAAGCATGTGTGTGAGCGTGTGTGTGTATGTGTGTGTGTGTGTCGGGTTAGGGCATTGGGGAGGAGGTGCGGGTGGTTTGGAAACAGGCGGTGAGCAGTGGCTTATGGGTAAACAGCTGCACCTCAAGTAAGACAGCAAACAAAAACAGCGAGGTCAGGTCAGGCCACAAACAGTCATTCACTGACCAACCAGCTCAGACCTCTCTCTGGCAACGACATGAGGAGGAACAGCTTTGGCTCTCTCAGATGGTTGATATTGGTTTTGGTATTTGTTCTTTGCCCTGCTGTATGTGCTTAACAGCTCTGTTATAGGGATCGGGTTCAGCTCATTTTTTGATTTTTCAATAGAGATATCTGCCCTTTATCTTCTCTGACGGTTTCGTCTTCTTTACTTCTCTAGGTTCAAAAACCACAGGAAAGCTCTAGTTACCTCGGTGGATAAGAAGATTCCGAATGGCTTCTTGGAGGAACAAGGTACTGTTGTGCTGTGCTCAATATAACCGCCAGTGCATGAAAATGTAATGCAGTCTTTTACTTTTTATTTCATTTTTATTTGATTTGTAGATTTACGCTTTTTATGGTGTAGGAAAGTTTCATGATCTGGAGTCCAAGGTGGCTGGCAAGGTTTTCGAAAGCCTCTCAGCTTTCCTAGCACGTAGGGAGCCATATAAACTTTGACTTCAAGTAAAAAATAAATAAATAAACGGAAAGGCCAAATTCTGAGTTAAGACAGTTTCGTGCAGCAGCAGCAGCACTATGTTTATGACTCAAGAAATCATTCCTGTCATGTACCCACAGAAGTAGGAAATCTTAATGGCCATCAGGCTTGTTTTTGCAGGTGCTATGAGAGCTTGTAATGTTCTCTATTGGGAAACGTTAGCAGTCTGACCGCCATATATCCCTTTAAACACAGGAGAGCAGACAGTGGTCCTTCTCCCCAGATCTCCCTCACCATCCAAGAGGTACTTCCCCATCCCCCTGGACTCGCTGGAGGAGGAGTACCGAATACGCTCCGCAGATGACGGCAAGCTCTTCAGAGAAGAGTTCAATGTAAGCCTGAGTTTGTTTGGTGGACTGTGCGGTACATTCTGTATCTGACTAAGATCTTAGTCCTGCAAGCATAGAATAAGAAAATAGTCATAAAATGTTATGTTAGTAGGCTGTGTACCCATGGTTTTATTTTTATCTCACGAGAATTGGGTTCTGTGTTTATAGTCGCTGCCGTGTTACTACCACCATGGGTCCTTTGAGGAGGCGAGCAGAGAGCACAACAGAGAGAAAAACAGATACCCAAACATTTTACCATGTGAGTGAGGATCTATATTCTGCAGCAGACAATATTAATGTAACCTTTAGACATGAAGTTTTATTGATCTCTAAATCTAAAGGAAAGGTGATGTGTGCCGAAATGAAAAATAAGAACCAACTTTTTATGAACAGTCTGTTGATCTTCTTTTTTTTTTTTTTTTTTTTTTTATCTCTCCTCTCTTCAACAGATGGATCATTCAAGAGTGATGTTTGAGTCAGATGGACATCTGTGTTCCGACTATATAAACGCATCTTACATAGACGTGAGTCTGAATTAGGATTAAGCTTTTAATGCAGATGTTTGGGTTCTTCACAAATGATTATTAACACAGTGTTTGGTCACACAGGGTTATAAAGAGAAGAACAAATTCATTGCAGCTCAAGGTAAATGTACATTTTAGTTATATTTGCACATGCGAATATTCAAGATTATGACCATTTGCGCAACATTTTTAATACTTTTCTTTATTCTGTTTCAGGCCCGAAGCTGGAGACGGTGGCTGACTTCTGGCGGATGATTTGGGAACAGAAAACGGCAACTATAGTAATGCTGACCAATCTAAAAGAAAGGAAAGAGGTGTGTTTAAGAGTATTCTCCCTCTGCACTGCATTCTTCTAATGCTACCGAGTCGGGCGTGTTATAGAATGAACCTGTTCAATCTATATGGTTCCAATGCCCCATTAGTGAAACCCTTTAGTATTCTCATGACCCAAAGTCATGGGCATAATTTATTTGACCCCTTCCCCAACTGAGAATCTATACAAAGTGTCACCCAGCAGATTACGTAGCAACGCATTAAATTCAGCCTCAAAGGGATGATCAATTGAGAGCTCAACAGCATGTTTGATAGGGCAGAATAGAGGCATTGGGGATCAATGACGGAATAATTGTTGATAAGATCCTAAGAGGCTTCATGATAATTAGTCTGAGAATCTAGTTAATGAGTTGAAACGTCGCTGTGAAGATCTTATTGACTGACAGAGTCGCACAAAGTCCCTGTGATTGCCTTTGAATTGGACTGTGAAATACACACATCAGATACACTTTTCTATACGCTACACATGTAATACACACACAGTAGATGCAGCTTTACAACTATTTCACATATAAGTTACAGTAATAATAATAATAATAATAATTGGATGTTTTTTTTATTTTTACAGGCACAGATAGACTAACAAGGATAACCTTTTCATGGCTGTGATTCTCTCCCCAGGAAAAATGTTACCAGTATTGGCCAGAAAAAGGCTGCTGGATGTACGGGAATGTCAGGGTGGCAATGGAGGACTTCACTGTGCTGGTGGACTACACCATCAGAAAATTCTGTGTTCAGTATGTAAGTAAAATTAAAATAAATCTAAAAATTAAGCCAAATGCTGCTTTTATTTAGACGTACACCTGCTGTGAAAATCATTGTGTGCTTTTTCAATAAAGCTCTTAATTGCTATAAACATCTGTAATGATAATGGCTATAGTGTTATTAAAAATTAAACATGAAACGAAGCTGCATAGAGATTGTGTAAAAAGTAATGTTCCCCATAGGGAAATTAGAACATTTTAGTAAATTGTAAAAGGATACAAAATAAAAATAAATAAATGGAAACCAGAATATTAAAGGATATGTGTAATAAACAACATAAAATGATCAGTATGTTAGTATATTTAACATACAGTAAACACTGTACAAATGTACTGTGCTTCACATCAATTCATCTTTAGAAGTTTACACACATACAGTATCTGTATTTCTTTTCTTTGACTGCTGAGTTGGGTGCCATCTCAGTGTACTGCGGAGCCTTCAGATAGCAAAATTCACTTTGTTCCCGCTCCATTTGAAGCCGGAGAAGTGCAGATATCCTCTCTGAAAAAGTGTGACTGTGCTGTAGCACTGCAGTACAAGCCGACGGACTGGGTGCTTTTTTTTTTTTTTTTTACATTCAGCTCTCTGAACACAGAGCAACCAAGTGTTCAAGAGAATGAAATTACGTTCTCCTGAGAGAGCAATTCGTGAGATATGAGAAGTGAGGCAGAGGCAAAGCAGTACACATGTTTAATGATTAGATTCTGTCACAAAATAACCAAATGACAGAAAAATACACATTTTCCAGATAATTTTCAGTTACTTTCCCAGACTGGCTTCATTAAAACGATCAGTCAGTTTAGTGACTATTTTATTATTGCACGCACATGTCTAAACTTCGTGTCTGTGCTTCACAGCAGGGCAGCGATGGTCCTCGGGCTCCCCGACTGGTCACCCAGCTCCACTTCACCAGCTGGCCAGACTTCGGGGTGCCATTCTCACCCATAGGCATGCTGAAATTCCTCAAGAAGGTCAAGGCTGTTAATCCATCCTATGCTGGACCCATTGTTGTGCACTGCAGGTAAAATAGTATAGTATAAAATATAAATACATAATGCCAGAAGAAGCCATAAATCCAGCCTGAGTTCATTTCAGAAATGCTACACATACTGCAGAGGAGCCGGACAGCAAAATCTTTTCCTGGGCAAACTGGCTTCCATTCATTATTGAGGAGGAGACGACACCTTTCAGATTATAAATATCCAGTTAGGGAGTAAATCTATAAGCAAAACTAAAATATGATATGTAAACAGTTTAACTTTAAACTTTATAGGTAAAATGTATAAAAACCAGAGTGGAGCTCATTGCTGACGAATAAAACCATCAGCAAATATATCAACAAATATATTTTAACAACTGTAATGGCTTTCCTGGTATGTGCATATGTTAGTCTGGCCAGTCAGTGTAAAGTCTCACCAAAGAAATCTGCAGCCAATTGTAGCAACTGCTGCAACAGGTGCTCAGGGAGAGGGACTGTTGTTCTTGAATGGGGCCCATTGAAGAGGCTTCAACACCCCGCTGTGGAATCCCAGCTCTGCGCTCCCTGAGGAGCCGTCCGCTCAAACGACTCTTGTAAATCTATTAGGAGTTTGTTTGGGCTTCAGAGGTGAAGCACTTTTACACATGCTCGGGGCTGTCCACAATTGACGTCTATGTTTGGAATTTAGGGATAGTACGGCAATACATAACCAGGCTGCAAAAACATTTTCCTATCATTATATCATGTCCATTATTCTTTATTGTGTGAGAAAAAATCCGTCTGCTACGGTGTTCTTCTTTCGCTGTGGAGGCTCTTTGCGCTTCGTAAACACAACATCTGACAGAGTTGTTATTTGACGCGTTTTGTTTTGACGCGACACTTTGGCTGCTTGCTACAGAGAAAAGACCTTGTGCCTTCTTCTTGTCTGTGCTTCCGCAGCGCTGGGGTTGGGAGGACTGGGACGTTCATTGTCATTGACAGCATGATCGACATGATGCACATGGACCAGAGGGTGGATGTCTTCGGCTTTGTGAGCAGAATACGAGAACAGCGCTGTCAACTCATCCAGACAGATGTAAGTGTTGACCCCTTCCGACCTGTTGTGCCTTGGGCTGACAGCTCAACTCACTTGCTCTAGTCGTGGCATAAACAAGCGAGGACATGGAAAAAAACAACCGTGTCTGTGATGCGAAAATAGTAGGAAAGACTTTGGCACTAAAGCAACTTCTTCTGCTTCTTCCTCTCCTTCACTTCCTCTGTCTTCCTCCTCAGATGCAGTACTCCTTCATCTACCAGGCTCTGCTGGAGTACTATCTGTATGGAGACACCGAGCTAGATGTGTGCTCTCTAGAGGGCCATCTGCAGAGGCTTCACAACACCAGGGCTCCCCACGACAGGCTGGGCCTGGAGGAGGAGTTCAGGGTACGAAGAAAGAAGCTCACTCTTAAACATTTCAGTCAGTAATGAATCGTCCCCATCACCCTGCGCCCTGCATGGGTATATTTTCCTGGAAAACTTGCCCAGGGTGCCGCTCTTGGCAGTAGTAACATAAATAACAATGCTTTGTATCAACTAAAACTTTATATGGCACCACCATCTGCCACATAGAATTTATTGTAGCTTGGTGAAAATTTCTCATTTTTGCTGCTCACACTTTCCCTACACACTGAGAGGAATTATTCCCTGTTGCCTCTTCTTCTTCTTTTTCTTTTCTAGTAATAAGAAATATTTTTGTCCAGCATCTGTCTTTTTACTTGTTGCATTTTCCCAAAAAATATTGTCTTCCTTCACCTTCACCAGCCATCACCAGCCTTAAATATCACCACGTTTATTACCGCTGCACTGTTGATGAAAATCCACTTTTTTTTTTTGATCCTGTCAATCCACTCATGTTTTCCCCCAACAGAAGCTGACCAACGTTCGCATAATGAAGGAGAACATGAGAACTGGGAACCTCCCTGCCAACATGAAGAAGAACCGTGTGCTTCAGATCATTCCGTGTAAGGACTACTCTGACACACCGAACAGTTTCATAATACATCACATCCGAGTAACATCAAAGTATCACACTACTGGTGGTTTTATAGATGCCATACACAGATATCGGGCTAATAAGTCCATGTCTGTGTGATCAGTGACATTTAAATAGGGCTTGTATCTTGACTTAAAGTTTGGAGTTGAGTGGGAAAGGAAAGCCTGGGTACAACTTTTTACAGTGAAAACTTATATAGGCTCCAGCCTTAATAACACAGCTAAAGTTTTACTTAGCTGTTTTTTTTTTTTTTTTTTTTTTTTTTTCTCCATCAGACTCTTCAAACTTATATTTTATTAGGAATCACTTGTGGAAAGTTTCATTTTTCCTTTTTCTTTCTTTTTGCAGATGATTTCAACCGAGTAATACTCTCAGTGAAAAGAGGACAGGAGTTCACCGACTACATCAATGCCTCCTTTATTGATGTAAGCACTCCCTCATGACCTCCTGTATAGATTTCCCATAGAAGTATATATAAAGCTCATTGTTTCCTTTACAAACAATGCAAAATATTATGTTTGCTGCACTCTCAAGTGTTGTTTACCGGATGATCTGCCCTCCAGGGCTACAGGCAGAAGGACTATTTTATAGCAACCCAGGGCCCCCTGTCTCACACAGTGGAGGACTTCTGGAGGATGGTGTGGGAGTGGAGGTGCCATTCAATCGTTATGCTCACCGAACTCAAAGAGAGGGAGCAGGTACAGTATGGTGCTCTTGCAAAAGTGCAGGCTGAAAAGTGGAGTTGCACATTTAAACAAGTCTTTTTCGTTCCATTATTTCATTTTCTTTCCTGACAGTCTGTGTATGTATTTAATTGTTTTATATTGTTTTTGTGGTGCACACTGAAAATATAAAAACAAAAATAGGGCATAAATCTTTCAAGTGTACCCTAATTGTATTTCCATCTGACTCTTCCAACCAGGAAAAGTGTTTCCAGTATTGGCCATCAGAGGGCAGTGTTACATTTGGAGATTACACTGTGGAGCTGACTGGCGATACACTGTGTGAAACCTTCACTCTGAAAGACATGGTGCTCACCTACAGACCAGTGCGTGATGTTTTAAACATAAAATTTAAGATATAGATTTCAAATTAACACAATGTGCCTCCCCGTTTCCTTTGTGCTGTCTTTTATGAAATTTAATTGTATCCACAATTTTTTGGCTGCATGAAAATAACAGTTCTCCATACCGTCTCGCCAGGAAAAGCAGTCACAACACGTCCGACACTTCCACTTCCACGGATGGCCTGAGATCGGAATACCAGCCGAGGGAAGAGGAATGATTGACATTATTGCCGCTGTGCAGAGGCAGCAGCAGCAGTCTGGAAACCGTCCCATAATTGTGCACTGCAGGTGAGGAACTTCAAGTTTGACAATTCTGCAGCACGATGTGCAGCTTCAGACGGATATTATATACAGTATATTACATTATGTATTTACCCACTCATGCTTTTAATACACAACCCCTTTCATTCTCACTGTGCTTTTATTACCTGATCACTGGAATCTCGAGGAGTGGTTTCAGTTTTACGGATACATATTTCTTTCCTGTGAATGTCTGTTACAATAAATGCTACATTTTGCCTCAGTAGACCTGGTGTTCTATGCTTAAACCACTTATGTGATCCCTTATAAAGACTTAGCTGTGAAAGCTTTGATCAGAACCTAGCTTCAGGTGAAGTGATTCTAAAGCAGCATGCCCCTATGGGATTGATCCAATCCACTGATTCACAGTCAATTAAAACCTCTCAAAGTGAAATCTCCTCTGACTCCCACTATGATTAATCTGATAAGATGAGCTAACGACAGGAAATGGTGTCATCACTCTCTTCTATTCCTTCATCACCACTTGTCTAAGAGGGGCTTTTTAAAGCTTTTTCTTGGCCCCCCGGGAATGGGGCTAACCCGTTGCAATCCCCAACGTCTCTCCACACTTCTCTTTCCGACTCGCACATCGCTCTCGCTCCCTGTCTCTCTCTGTCTTTCTCTCTCCATCCCGCCATCATTGTAAACATTGACTCAGTCAAACACTGAGCTTCCAAACTGATTAGTGTTAGCGTTTGGATTAGCCTCTCTTTAAGTGAGGATGATTATTAGCACTATTACACAAAGGTCACCTTTTCTCGCGCAAACTTTTTCCTCTAAATGAAAAAAAGGATGTTGCTGCTGAGATCACAAGAGTTTCATTGCAGCATTATTATTCAGAAATATAGTTAGAATTTCATAATTTCTTGATTGCCTTCTGAGATGTATTTCTAAATTGTCTGTAGTTCCTCCACAGCCACAGTACTGCAACAAATCGGACCATTTTCAAAGGCCCTCCAGCGTGTGAATTATGTGATGTGGTTGCTTATTTGCCATGTCCCTCATGTTTCAGTGCTGGTGCAGGTCGGACCGGTACCTTCATTGCCCTCAGTAACATTCTGGAGAGGGTGAAAGCCGAAGGCCTCCTGGACGTTTTTCAGACAGTCAAGAGTTTACGCATGCAGAGACCACACATGGTTCAGACTGTGGTAGGTGGAAAACAAGATAATATCAAACCCGCTGTGCAGAAACTGTCAGCTTATTCACGTTTGTGTTGTTTGGAACCGTTTTTGCACATATATGCACAATAACGCTTTTCCTTTTTGCCTTTCCTTCCAGGAGCAATACGACTTCTGCTACAGAGTGGTTCAGGATTTTGTTGACATTTTCTCAGACTATGCCAATTTTAAATAATGCCTGTCAGATACTGTTCTGTATACTTTGGTCAAATTAACTTATGCAATTTTTTTCTGAATGTTGTTTTCTAAAGCAAGCTCTTTTTACATTTTGCACAGATAGAAAAATTGTTTTAACATTACTGTAAAATAATTGAAAACATCTGTGGGGTCTCTTTCAGGAATGTTTGATCTTCAAGTATCATAATGTAAAATATAGAAATTAATAGTTTTATGTTGCGTAAATGCAACATTGTTAGAATCAGTAATTCAAAAATTGTATTCCAGTCACATACTATTGTGTGTGTATATATATATTTATATAAATATATATATATATATATATATACTATAGTATGTAGTATTACTCGCTACCTGAAATTCATCACTAATGTTTTGTAGATTATAATATACATTCTTTTATTTCGGTTTTATTTTGTTACTGACCACAATGCCTTTGGTTTACCTATTACTCTTGTATTTTATGTATTTTCTGCTGCCCCACTCAACATGCCTGATTGCTATGAGGAGAATAAATTGTTTGTTTGATAAGTAGGATAAAATGATTAATGCTTTTGCTAAAGGATGTTCTGTCTGACATGTGTGAATAATATTTATGATTTGCTTTTAGTGGCTCAAACAAAAACATAAAACTCAAGATACATTTCGTTCTGTTAGACGCTGCAAATTACCTCACCTCTGTTCTGTGAATAACTTAACAGCTGCTGCCTGTTGCAATTTTATTAAACTTCACCAACTTTCCTTTTTGCCTGTGGCAATATTACTTAGTGGATTGGCGCCTGACGCTGCAAAATGCAATTAGCCCACATTGGAACAGGCAGAAAATAATGTATTATTACGTGAATCCAAATGTATCATTCTTACAGATGTTTTGCAGCCAAGTTTCACATCCTGCTTAGAAATAAAAAAGCAAACTTTACACTCGCATGTTTGCATAAAGCAGTGCCATATTGATTAGAAAACAGTTCTAATCATGAAAAACTTGTCACCAAGTGACACCATTTTAATAAAGATAAGCCAGATGTTTGTTTAATTTAGATATAATAGATACATTTTTAAAAGTGTATTGTTTTTTGAATGTTGGTCTCATGTATGGATCATCATTTCATTGTTTATACAAACACTTCTCAGAATAATATAAGGATAATAAATGTATCATAATTTTAGTTTAGTGTGCAAATGAGAAGAAAAACTGTGTAGAAATTTGGGTTTAAATGAAATAGCTGATCATTGATGCAGCTGAACCTTGTTCATCCCGACAGAATGAGATGAAAAATGTCCTGGACAGTGAAAAGCATTGAGATCAAGAGCGAGTGCTCAGCCAAAAATACGAAACGTGCATGCACAGATCATGATAGTTAGTCTTAGTTTCATATTTAAACAAGGAAAACCCAACATTGCTGCAAAGTCCAAAGCGTATATTTTTGCTGACTTCTTTGTAGAACAGTGAGCGTGGAAGTCTTAGGCTTTGGTGAATAGCTTTCTACTGTGTTTGTACTGCCATAATTATACTGTCATAAGATGGGTTTCTATATGACACACTGGTCATTTTATTCGTTTATTTAGTGTACATAAATTCTTGTGGTCATTAATCATCACTAATGCAGTAAGCATTGTTGACTTCTTTTTAATGTATTGTCATGCGGAAAGAATAAGAGACGGGGGGTAATGACAGTGAGGCCTTGCAGCTGATGTAACATAAATGCACAAGCATCTTATTTCAATGATGTTTCTGCCTTTCGAATCTGTATGGATTTGAACTACTATTTGTTTGCTAAAAGCTGAACCAATAAATTATAGATGGAGAGAAATGGTCACATTTCATCTTCATGTTGTGTTTTTTGTCTACTGCCACACAGATGCGTTCAATTCTTTTTTTATATATTTATATATATATATATATATATATATATTATTTATTTAT